ATAACGACTTTATTCTCTTAATTTATTCATTTAAAAAATGTTTTTTAAATTTGGCCCTAATACTCGGTCATAACGTCCAGCACGTAGATGAGTGTGTCCTCACTGGTCCCTGTTTCAGGCCTCTTTGTGCTTCTGGGATGGACAAACTGGAGCTCCAGGATTGTCTGGAGCACGGCCGAGTAGCAAAGGTGACTAATTTGCATCTGAGAGCCAAATAATTACAGATTTAACCTCCTGAGAGCCCGCGTTGCATACAACGACACTTCATTTCTGCCTCTTTTTACCATGGTCCTTTTTTCTTTGACCTTTGACCTCTTGGCCTCATAGCAGACAATATCAGACACTACTGTTTGAAACCTAAAGGAAAATGTTTTTAGACATTTTACACCAATCATTTTCTTATTGTGGAATAAAGTGTAATTATTATAAATGTTGTAAATAAGTCGATTGGACCCTCCGAACCAAATTCTGAAAAATTTGATTAAATATATAAACAAACATTTTAAATCTAAAGATAAACCCACTGAGCCTATATGAAGAAAAGCTACCTGTACCATAACAGAGTCTAGTTATCAAACTTATCAGCTCCTACTGATCCAGAGATCTGTAAAACCGAATCAAATCTGGGCTCTCAGGAGGTTAAATGTGTTGTTGTTTTTGTTCAACTTGTGGTTCTTACCGTGGAAGTGACTTTTCAAATTTGACGCGGCGTGTTGTCTTGTAGTTTGGGAAGGTGCGAACTATCACCACGCGCTCCAATTCTATCAAACAGGGTAAAGACCAGCACTTCCCGGTCATCATGAACGGAAAGGAGGACATACTGTGGTGCACTGAGCTGGAGAGGTGCGCGACTATGCTCAGTCCAGCTTTAAAGTGACTACATTTACCGTTTGTGTCTTTGATTTTAATCCGGTCTTCTCTTTTTCCGTTGTGGTCAGGATTTTTGGTTTTCCTGTCCACTACACAGACGTGTCCAACATGGGCCGCGGGGCCAGACAGAGATTACTGGGCCGGTCCTGGAGTGTTCCAGTTATTAGGCACCTGTTTGCACCACTCAAAGACTATTTTGCCTGCGAGTAGAAGACATACCGTTTTTTTTATTTTTTTTATACCACTCGGGGGGACGTACGCCAGCATTTTGAAACGAGATCGTGCCTAAGAAAAACATCAGAAGCAAGCCTTTGGGAAATCAAAAGCTCCATGCGTGAAGAATGAACGGAGTTGGTTGGTTTTTATTGAAATATGCAGATAGCATCATCCAAATTCAGCAATGGGAAACAGTTCACCTTTTTATTTGTTAGCTTTCCACTGTCTTTTTTTTTTTTTTACCTCCCAAGCTGCAGCCTATCAGTGTAACAAATGATATAAGCCAATATCAGTAGCAGCGTATTCAGTAACCTCTTTAAAGATACAATAGAAATAAGAAAAGTCCTTTTTTTTTAAAATAAGGGAACATCCTGCGCATTTGTACACTGATTTTAGAGTCATTTTCTACTTTTGTACTGAGGTTTTTTAAGGCTGTGTCCGGCCTCAACACTGGTTAACTAGTTTGTAAATGTTAGAAACATAAGTTGGATTGCTTTTTTTTTTCAATTCTCAGGAATATTTAGTGGAAAAACTGGAAACGAGAACTAAAATTCGAGGCAAAAAAGGCTGTCGGATCAGCTCGTAAATCAAAGCAAGACATATATAACCTTTTAAACACACACAAAGAGAATCCCAGAGGAAGATGGGGACATTCTTTTTCTTGACTGCACTTGTGTAAGTCCTTAAATACTTTTTTTTTCTTTTTTGCGATTGTCCTAATGAGTGGTCAGTGTTTAACCTGCACCAGATTATGGCCTTTAAAACCATTCTTTCTATTCTGTTATACTTAATCCACACAAACACATTTCAAGAAAACATTATTTATTGCAAATTTGACATGTTACACTTCCTTTTAACGTGTTTTTTCACTATTGGATAAGATCTATGCTGCTCTGCAACACTGTTGACTTTTAGGTTTTCAGGCAGATAGGATGGCTACTACTACTTGACATTATGTTTTTTTTATTATGTAAACAATGTTGTGATTGTGAGTGTTTTTTTAAGCTCATTTATATGGTCATGTTGTTATTTTAGGGGTTAATTTTGGAAATTATGAGAACTACCCGATCTATGAAAGGATACACTGACCCACCACCAAAAATGTGTGCTTGACAAAGGGATTTATTCTTAAAAAGTGACATTTACTCTATTTGCTACGATACAAATTTTGTCTAGATGTCATTTAATTTTTAGGCTAAAGGTTCTGCGTGTCACAAATTGAGCTAATTCAAATGGCTCTTATCAGAATAAATCCTTGCTGTGCATTGCAGGTTAAAACACAAACTCCTCATAAGCACCTTTTTGCAATAGAAACAAAAAAAATGCTGGTTAAGTTGCAGTTCAATGGGATTTTCAATAAGAAGTGATTTGAAAAAAACATAAACAAGAAAAAAAGTATATAAAGGTGCCATATTGTTGTTATTTCTAGCACATGCTACTTACACACAGCAATATTAAGCCTATACAAAGAAGTTTAAGATTGATATGACTAATGTTGATGGATAAAAACCTGCCAGAAAATAACAAAGTGGAAGATGGAGTTCACTCCAATCAGAGAAATTAAACCTATTTTCTGAGATCAAGTGAAGTTACATTATTTGTAACTACAGGAAGCTTTGCTTAGCAGCCAGTTTAATATCATTATACACTCAGATATCTACACAAACGTTTCTACTAATGATAAAAAAAATATGTTTTCCAGTAAATGCATAAATGCAGAGAAAGTTACCTCCAATTATGCCAGCTGATAATAATCCAAGTTGAAATATTTCTAACTGTGATCGACCAAATATCTTGAATAAGTGGTACTCACCGACTGCTGATAAATCCTGTCTACTGAGGCTCAAGTTATTTAAACAACTACTGTTTAGTGTTGATAAAGCTTTTCTTTCCTAAACCAAAGGATCTGCAGGTCTCAGACATTTCTAAGTAAGAAAAACTGTGTTTCAGGCTGACCGTGTTTACACCACTAGTGTTTTACTGTAACAACGGGAACGTTTACAAGTTTTTGGTTAAAGAGGACCAACATATCATTTTCTAACACGAAATGAATAACTTCCTGTGTGTGGAAAATGACCGTCTGTGTTTTTACGGCTACTTTGTGGTGCTGAACGATACCCTCAAATTGCCACCAGGACCCAAAAAGGAAGAAAATAAAAAGTTACTGTTTACACACTGTATTACAGCCGAATTTATCTGACGTTGTAAGATAAGTTTTTTTGTTGTTGTTTGTTGTAGAACTTTTTATAACCTAGGACGTGATTATATACTTTGTATTATAGTTTATAAAGACATTATAAATCTTGTTTTAAAAAATGTAAACATATTTTACTAGCATGTTCTTAAGTAGGGTTTTTACGGGGGTTTTTTAGTCACTTGATATGACAAAGTTTTGGAAACTAGATGTGTTTTTACAGTGTTTAATTTGTAGAGTTTTCCTCACAAAAACCATGTTGTGATTCATTACAACCGTTTGTGAGTTTTGGCCTTTTGTTTGACCATTGTAAGTTGTGTTTTTTCTACATATGTCTTGTTTCAAACTATTGTTAAATGAACAAGTCTGTGCTATTTTTCAAATGTGTTTGGAGTATTTTTTATTTTGGTTCAGTGTTTCTTTTAGTGTCTATCTATCTATCTATCTATCTATCTATCTATCTATCTATCTATCTATCCAAATCTAGGGTATTTCCCTGAATTTCTTGAAGTTTGAGTTTCTTTTTATGAAAAGATCATTGACATTTTCCACACCAATAGTTGGTGAAAAAGAATGACAGCCAAATAGGTTTTAAACATCAGATAATAACTAATTCAAGGTTTCTTTTTTACCCGCATGGGCATTTTGGGGGCTCGATGGTTTGTCCCCATAATAATCTGTTTCCCTGGCGTTTGCCTCTTTTGGGGATCATTGGTTATATCTCCAGTTCCAGAAAATGTATTAAAGGCAAAAAACTTCATGAAGTGAGGGCAACCAGCAACGTATCAAGCTGCTCCAAAGTAAAATCATCAATCATCAGTAAATCATAGTGCATTTTATACCCCTCTCTGAGTCTATGAGAGAAAGAAAAAGAACCCTTTAGAATATATGCTTTCCCTACAGAAGTGAAGAAAGTGATTAAACATATACTGATTTGCCTCACAACCGCTAAAGAGGCGGCCATACCTCTGGTCGAATATGCATGCATATTATTGGGCATTTGTGTATCCTTTGTGGCATGTGCCCTACAAATGGCCCCCACAACCCAGTGTGAAGTGTGCAAACAGTAGATTGTCCATCGCCAAGGCTTTTTCCGCTCTTTGTACATGCGCAAAATGTGCAGAGGTTAAAAGGGTGTTCGGGCGTCTTTGTCTTTTCAATGTATAAAGAGGAGGTAAAAAAGCCGACAGTACTCCAGCGGGGTTTCCTTTGGCCAGTAAAACCTCCTGTTGTCCGTTCACCACGGACGCCATGTTAAGTGCACAAATTTATCTTCAGAAATCTGGTTATGCATCTGATGACCTGGATAAAGTCTCTTCACGCAAGCAAAATAAACCAGAGAAACAACACCAACAGTAAAAGGAAGCTAAAGCCTGGAACTGAGACTTTGATTGTTGGTGATGCTGCTGTGAAGGAGGTCAGATGTGTGTGTGGGAAACGTACCAAAACACTGTGCTTTCCAAAGGACCTGCTACCAGACCTGAGACAATACTGTGTAAACTGAAATAGAGCTTCAGTACTACATGGACCCGTGGCCAGGATAAGCCGGGTAGCTTCCTTCATACCTGTTTTGATACATAACAGAAAAAGATTAGTCAGCCTTCAGAAACCAAAACCTTCTGTACATGTATCAAACGTCGTGTTCACTACACGTCAGCCACAGCCAGCCCATAATACTGACACACGGAAACTAGCTTTACTAAATGTCCGGTCTTTAGCAGGGAAAACCTTTTTAAGTAATGACTAACATTTCCCATCACAATCTTGACTTTCTGTTTTTAACTGAGACATTTCCACAGTCATTGAGTCAGGTAAAGGCACTGGGGAGGTGGCTGCCATTACATCTTCAATAAATGCCCAAGTTTACGTTGATATTTTGGACACTTTTCTTATCCCATCAATTGAAAGGATGTTTGGGGATGATGAAATCATTTTTCAAAATGATAATGCATCTTGCCATAGAGCAAAAACTGAAAATATTCCTTGAAAAAAGAGACATAAGGTCAATGTCATGGCCTGCAAATAGTCCAGATCTTAATCCAATTGAAAATCTTTGGTGGAAGTTGAAGAAAATGGTCTATGACAAGCCTTTAACCTGCAAACCTGATCTAGAAGCGGTAATCAGAGAAAGTTGGAGCCAGATTGATTAAGAGTTCTTTTTGTCACTCATTAAGTCCCTGCTTCTGCAAGCTGTTATAAAAGCCAGAGGTGGTGCAGCAAAATACTAGTGATATGTTGGAACGTTCTTTTGTTTTTCATGATTCCATAATTTTTTTCCTCAGAATTGAGTGATTCCATTTTTTCCCTCTCTGCTTGGTCTAAAAAAGTAACCCTTTACTAACTACCATTTTTCTTGATTTCTTTTAGTGTTTCTTAACATTCTCCATTTGAAATTACTTCAGTTTTGTGTCATGTCTGTGTTCTGCTTTTTTTCTACACAATTGGACAACTGCATGAACTTCCTCCGACAAAGGTAATTCCATGTTCAGCCAGGGGTTGTACACAGCTTCCGCACTGAGCAGGCTGGTCCTTGCTGCCTTACGTCAGCGCGACCGCCATATTGGATGTGGCGGAACTGCCTGTAAACTAATAAAAGGAAACGGACTGAACTATATAAGGCGCACTTCTAAAAAGGTATATGGAGTCAATGCATCTTATTCACCCATTCAAACACATAAACAAATATATCTGGGAAACAAATAAGCACCAATACACGCATTTATATGTATATATGTCTGTGCGTTGAACAGGCAGAGCGGCAGCCGCCGTGGGCGGGAAAGGGGCTTGGAGCTGGAGCGGTCTGATTGAAACGCTTCCAGGAACAGATCGGCAACGGTAAGTTACGTCTTCCCCAACTTACTGTAGGTTACTGGGCTAATTGCAAGTGTTTGGGATACACCAAACGCAACCACTCACAAGCAAAGGGAATTAATTTCGTAAACGCGTTCTTTCTGAAAAGTCACATATGCCAAAGTTTTGGTTTGCTTTCTTCATTCGTACGTTATTACCGTTAGCTCTGTGGCTGTTTCTTATTCTACACATTCAGCTGAACACACCTCTAAAGCTTCCTTTGAATGGAAATGGAAATTAAATGGTGACAAATGGAAACAGTAACTAATTCGTAATACAGATTCTGGACATTACATTAGCACCGGTGACGTTAATAGACTGTCAACGTTTGACACGTTTAAAACCGCTACCTGGATTTGAAAGCGTAGTTATGCATTAGTGCACGTTATCTAATTCAGCCGTTATTCTTCTGCTATACATGCATGTTAAGGTTTAGTATGTAAAACCATCGTGTCGTTGTTAAACGTGTCATTGTTTCTACTCGTGCCCCTCGCGCTATACGAGATGCTTTCCTCCCAAAAACCCACATATTTTCCTCCACTTTCGCTGTTCCCGTTTGCTAATTGGCTACAAAGTCAACTAACCTGATTGGTGGCTCAGGCGCTCACCTGTGAGTTAATTGGTTTAATTTTTACTTTCAGGGATGTATCACTTCCGTTCACTTTCAACGCAAAGCGAATCGAATTTGTTGTTCTTCACTACTACGCAATTCACATGACATACACTAATTAAATAGACTTTAATTTACTGTTTGAATTTAAATTTCTTTAAATTTCTAAACAGTTGGTGCAGTTACATGTATTGCCAAGACTTTAGGCATCTTTATTCATCTTGTACAATTGAATTATACTACCGGTAAGTCTTAGTTATTACAAAAAAGGACATGGTGACCCAGGAAGGTCTTATAGGAAAATGTGACTGGGGTCTTTTGACTGGTAGCTAACAAACATTCATTAGTGATGGCTCAGCCCAGATGCTCCTGCTTTGTATCACCTATCTTATTAATCTAATAAATCAAATTGTGTGGAATAGGCTTCATAAATAGAGCTACACTTGAAAATATAGGTAGTAGGTCTTCTGTATGGATTGACCGCTCTGGGCAGCACATTACACAGGGCTCTGTATGTGTCTTTACTACAGTTCACTCGATATATAGACATTTACTGTCTCTCATGCTTTGATTTTTAAAAAAATTTGGATTATGTGCTAGGTAAGTATCTCAAACTTCAGTAAGTCTTGAAGACTAACTTGACAAGACCTTATTTTATCCCTCGCAAGATGAATTTACAGCTGAAAGTTTGGACATAGCCATTCGCGTCACTCAGTATGAATTGATATGTATGTTCAAACTTTTGACTCAAACTTTTGACACAGATAGCAGCAACATTTATCCCAGAACTCTTGAACTAGTAAGCAGTTCAGCTTGGTTTTTTTAAATACTAATCCTTAAGTATGGCTCCTTTTAGTTTCAGTGTTATTAAATCTAATGAAAGCCATCTTGAAAATTTGTGTTGCTAAGATAAATGTAGCATTTCCCTTTAAGTGTGCTTATGTCCTATTTTCAGATACAGTTGGCCTTTTTATCCCACCACCATCATCCCAACCCAGACCCGGTCGTGAGCATGGAGGGCAAAACAGCCAGAGACCAGCGAAAAAGAAAACCGTTGGCTAATTCTAACAAGAATGCAGACGTAACAGGGACGATGTCGGATGAGGAAGACGAGGAAGATGATGATATGCTGGAGCCAATGGAGCGGAAATCTGGAATAAAGAAAAGTCTCGGCAACGAGTGCATCCAGACACGACAAAAGGTGGAGCTAAAAGATTCAGCTGAGGACAACGGTATTCGAGGAAGTGGTTACTATGGCAGCAAGATGCTGCACTTCCTCAGGAAATGCTGCTCTGGTCTTGGTCTTGGTGATTCAAAAGATACAATGCAAATGCTCTCAAAGACCCCTTTACTGCCTATACCTGTATTGTCTAAACAGGCTGACATTTAAGTTTGAACTGAATGAGTCAAACCTTGTTGGATCGATTATGATGTTGTCTTTGTTCATAGTGCCCAGATTAAGAAGTCACAGGTGAACGGCTGACTTTCCTCTGTTGCTTCCGAGGTCCCTCAGATACATAGTTACCCTTAGAAACTACATTTTGTTCAAATTTTAAGAGAAAAATGCTTATTCTTGTTATTTACATACCTTAAAGACGATTTTCATTCTAATTTACCTCAAGCTGAATTTATGTTGGCTTGTTGGATTGATGTCCCCCCAAATCCCACAACAATTATTTTCTCGTTTTTAAAAATCCAGCCAGTCCATTTACAGGACGGATTAAACATTTGTATGCTGAGATCTGACCAAATGTGTTTGTATTTATGTCACAAGGTCAAGAGCACCAGCGTTCCCCACGGCAGAGAGGGAAGTCCCTTGGCCTCGCCTGAATCAGGAAAGTGGTCCAGAAGACCCTCTGACTGCAGGAGGAGATATCCTCTCCGGTCCAGCTGTAATGAGGAGAACAGAATCCCTGCCCCAGTCAAACAGAATCCGCAGAGTTCAACAGAGGATCGTGTTGGTATAGCGGCAAAAGCTACACCACATAATCCTTCAAAGGCCTTCAACAGTACAGATGACACGGACTACACAGACAGTTCCTCTGGTAAGTCTGGGAGTGTAACACCATAAGCAGGGTTTTACTTATGGTCTGGCACCCCGGCTACAGAGTGTTCATCTGGGTCTTGGCTCATAACATAGATCTACTGTGAACAGCGATTAATAAGTGGGACTATTTATATTTCAGAGGAGTCCGTAAGAGCTGACAACCGCAGACTGAGGAATCGAAAAAGTAAGATGTCCTACTCTTATGATTTCTCACTGAAAGATGTCCTTTATCACAACGTATCTCAAATACTATGAGAAGCAGCTGTTCCTGTTTAATATGCAGCTAGGTCGGTAGGTAGGAAGGTAGTACAGAGTTCCACAGTGAGCCGAAGTATATTTTGAGTTCTGATAATGATAGCCAAGAGATTGAGGTGAGTTTAAGGATTTTTTCTTTTTGTGGGTAATGAAAATAAAACGTCCCATGGTCAGCACAATGGTAAGATTAGCAAGTTAGCATAAGGGTTTATGATAATGCTACAACTAGAGGTGTTAAAATAAATAGATAGATGGCCCTACTTCAGAAATACATCTACATGGCACCCAAAAACAATTCCAAAGGAATTGTATTATTTTTGTCTCAAAAGAGGAAAATAATTGTGTTCAATAGCTCATGTCAAGTGTATTTTCAGGTTTAAAGGCTCGACAGAGAAAATTGGTATCAAGTTCAGGCAGCGATGATGAGGATCCCACATCACAGTCAGAGAGTCATGAAAAGGCCATTGTGAGTCTGCATCCTTTAAAGAAACTTTGGTCTGCCACACTGCTGCAATACTTCACTCGCTATGTTATATTTATATCTGATACAAAGCTGGAAAAAGTAGTTAATCCATCACTAGGCTCAGAAATGGTAAAGTACCATGAGAGTGTTTGATCGGATCATAATTGTCGTCATATTTCAACTAATATTGAAAACTAATTTTCTGCAAATAAAAGTATTTGATAACTTTTTCATGAAATAATTTTAAGAGCCTGTTTAAGGCTTCAGTTTTACTGAAAGTCCTTAAAAAATAACAATTCCACAGCCAACATTTTTCCCTATTTATTTATGTTGCTGACAAAGAACAAATGGCGATTCAGCATGGAGGGCCGAACACACTCACCAGTCAGATTATTATTGTTGTCGAAATATAAAGTCGCTATTCACTCTTCTTTGCAGTGAACCTAACTCTGCCATGTCTTGTGTCACAAAGGGGGATATGGTCTGGGGGAACATGGAGGGCTTTTCACGCTGGCCCGGGATCATCGTACCCTACAGCAGGGGGTCTCGGCTTCCAGGGAAAGGCTTGGTAGAGTGGTATGGACAAAGAATGTCTTCTCAGGTACGCAAAAATGTCATGTTTTGGTGTTGCCTCAGTAACAAACATATTACAGGCATATTTGAGCTTTTTCTTAGCTTTTTTTTAACTCGTGAATCTGGCAGATTACATCAAAAAATGAGAGCATGCCAATTTCTCTGCTTTTTTTCCTTTTATGGTCAGTTTTATTATTTAAACTGGATTGCATAAATACTATCAAGCACAACATGTGAGAAAATGCTTTTAAAAAACAATAGAACCTTTCATTTTAACGGGAATGGAAAACATCTCTTTCAGTCTATGAATGCTGGCTTGTATTGAAACAATGGCAAAGTTTTACATTTCCCATGAGGACATGATCCTCATAGGTCTTTTGAATGCTTTTTAAACACTGAATTGTTGTGTGCACTGAACATCTTTTTTATAATACAGTATTTTATAATATTTTCCCTTCTTGTTGCATCCCATGCTAGATCAGTTTACGGACTCTTGAGCCATTTGCTGCCTTTGGAAAGCACTTCTGTGCTAATTCCTTCGCCACCCAGAACACCTACCGAGAGGCGATATTCTTGTCTCTGCAGGTCTGTGCATCAGTGCGTCTTCAAAAAATAATTGAGTCAAACCTCCCGGATAAGTTGGTGACTAGTTTTTGTCCCTGCTGGGTGTTTTGAGTCTTACTGAAAAAGCATGTCTTTCTGGCTCGTCAGGAAGCAGCTCTGCGATGCAAGAAGCAGTTTTCCACACCTGCCAAAGACAGAGAAGAACTCCTCCGTCAGATGTTAGACTGGGCTTTAGGAGGCTTTCTACCATCTGGCCCAAGTGGACTCAAACGCACACCTTCAGTTAACAGTATGTGCATCTTATTAAGCTCCTGTAGGAGAATTATAATGAGATGTCTCTGGGGCAGAGAAGCTCCTTCCTATTTGCACATAGAAATATAATGCCCTTTGTTCTAAACAAACAACAAAAATCCCTCTCATTCTCTCTTATCAATGCAGTCTCTGTGATGGACAGAGCCCACATTATAACCGCAGTCTTACTTAATCAAGTTATCGGCCGTCTATGACACTCCTGCTCTGTCAGCGCTAAAAAACCCAGCTCCTTCTGCTTGGATCTCACATTGTCCACACATTAAGTAGTTTAATATGAACTTTTTCCCTGCATTACATCTTAGGCCTCTCTTTTTTGGGGGGGTCTTACTCCACGTAGAAACAGTGCTTATGTTGGCATGGTTACGAGTACTACAAATGGGAAGTGAAGTGCCAGAAGTAATGATGTTACTCATTCCAGCAACACGGCATATAAACTATTTTAGAAAAGAAAAGGTAAAAATCTGTTTTAAAGAAAGGTTGATTAGACTAGATTAAAAGATAACATGATCAACAGCAGGCAAAACTGGTATTATGTATTCGATAAATGACAAAGACTTGATGGTTATATTTCTTTTTGCAGGGTATAAAAACTTAAATAATTATTCTTGATTGTGTTTTTAACATTTTTCAGAAGACATGGCTTTTTAAATATAATTTTGTTCTTTCCACTATACAGTTTAAAATGAGTTTAAATGGGACACCTGAACCTTTTGAATGTCTTTATAAGTAGTGTATTTATTGAAATATGAACTAAACCTACCATCATGATGTCAGGTGTTGAATGACAGCTTTGTAAAATTAATGAATAGATATTTTGCATATATATCGATTGATTTTGAGCTGGAATATGGGTCCAGATTTCTGACTAGGACTAAAATCATGACAAGATGAGCCGCTTTATACTGTTGTGTGAAAAATCTCGCGGTTGTGACTGTTTCTTTTCTGTCCAGGGGTTACTAGAGCAAGCAGCAGGCAGCAGGAGGAGGGGAGCCTCTTCAGGAGTTCCCATCATGTCCCCGACGCTTCCAGCCCTTTAAAGCAAAACTCTTCCTCCAGCACGATGAGTGAAGACTCCATCTCGTCTGACGAACTCTCATCCAGCTCCTGGGAAAAATCCATGGCGCTGAATAAAATCAAAAAGAGCTACGTGAAACTTTACAATAAGGCCAACCACTCGACCAGTGCGTACACACAGCCCGACCAGAAACTCAGAGGTATGAAGCACAATCCAGTTTATTAATATTTATTCCTCCATCTGCGTTTTATGCCAGGTTTTTCCTAGTCAGCTATTTGGGGAAATTAGCCTATATCCCTGCTTGAATTTTCATATTACATCCATTTAAATGAAAATGTATCAACATGTGTCCCAGTTGAAGAAGTAATTTGATTCCATTTGATTTATGAAAGGTCAACTTTTACATTGGTCTGACCACTTATTGAATAGCATTCTGGTTACCTAAATAACAAACAAAAAAAACAAAAAAAAAAAACAAGAGACTTTAAAAAACAAAAACTTTTGTGGTATTGTTTTGTTGGTTCTCTTGGGTTGGCGGCACCACCAGCGTTTTCCTTACACTCATAGAATCATTGGCTTGGCATAGTCTGACTGAGATTATAGTGAAAATCTACCAGGTATTCTTACCTTATCTGCAAGATTAGTTTTATTGTAATGTGGCTGCACTGATGTTGTCGTTTGACCAAAAATGTATTTCTAATTAGCTTAAAGATTCCTAACGGGGGGGCCGATTGCAGGTAAACATT